ACCCTATATAGGGTTTCCAAGGAGCAGCTGGTAAACTTGAACCTCCAACTTTGCAGTTCAAACCGACATTGCATTCCAGTGCATGAACCCGCAGCAGCACACCTGGACTCCCTAACGTATGGCAGTTTTCATGAATTCATTTTCCAATAATAAGAGAGAATTTAATGACGCTTATGAAAAGGCAGCTTGGATATGTATCTTCTTGACAAGTTTCAAATGTTTAATCCTACTTAAGGTTTGACATTTAAAGATTGACTAGAACAAAAATTTTGCTATGCAAAGAAGTTTTTTTTTTTTTCTTTTCTTCAAATTCATACAATGATACTGTTTTATGGATGTTAAAATCTATTTTAGAAGAATTCAAAAGAACTTTGAAATTAAAAATCTTTCTGATCTTTTTATTAAAGTGTTTTGTGAACATAAAAAGTTGAATTTGCCATCTGATAGATATTTCTCCTATAATAAAAACGAGCTAGTTAAAAGAGAGAAAAATATATCCTACATACAAAGAAAAATATTTCTTTGCATTAGTCTTTTTATGAGAACTTATCTATGCTGAGTAAGTTAGATTAGCTTGGAGACTTCAGGTACTCCAGTTTTTACTAGTTCACCTCAATGGCTAGGTCCCAGAAGCTCTGGTTTTATTAATGGAATCAAGTTTCAATATTAGGAGGACTAGACCAACAACAACATCCCAATGGTTTTACAGATTAGAACCAGTCTGATTCTTATGCCTGAACACAAACTATTTTACAGAAATAAATTCATACACAAATCTACACAAAAAATTATACTACACCTAGGGTTTTAACTGGAGTCCTAGTGTGGCGCTGTGGGTTTATGTGCTGGACAGCAAAGTAATTTGAACCGCAAGGTCGGTGGTTCAAGCTCACCAGCCACTCCTTGGAAACACTATACAGGGTCACTATGGGTCAGAACTGACTCGATGGCACTTAACAACAACAACAACAATAACAACAGGGTTTAAACGGAATTAGGTTTGTTTCTAAATTCTTTCTAAAAATGCTGAATTTGAAAGGCTGTTGTAAACCTTTTTTAAAACAAATAAAATGAAGGAAAAGAATTTTGTTAAGACAAAAGTACTTTTAATAGCCCACGGAACTAAAATGGGATACCCTTCCCAACAAAGAACAGAGTTAAGAGGGAAAAGAGACATTTATACAATGAGCCCAATTTTAGTGAGGAGATAAGCGATGTACTGCATTTTAAACTTACCACAAGAGCAAAGAACACCATAAAGAAAAATGATAAACTACTTGTGTAGCCAAGAAAGCCTGTAAAACAACAGTAAAATAAAAAGCAATTTATAAGGAAAGTGATCCTAACACAGCTAAAGCTATACATCTTGGGCATGTTTTCTATTACAGTACTTGGTATCTGGGGCTTAGGGTTCAGAAAAACAACATTCCAACTATCTGTCACAGATCATTTATGGAGCGCTGTACAGGAGAATTGGAACTGGCTTACCACTAATGGTACACTGTAAGGCAAGGCTGTGCTTTAATGTTCTGCTGTAAAGATTTTATTTTAGTGGGGCAGACAAAACACTACTGCAAACCAAGTAATAGGTTAACTAGGCAAGGCTGAGGGTTGAACAACCTAAAATAAGGCCAAACTTTAAATTATTTATAAGTACCACTCTTCTGCTAAAATTGTGGCACTCTGAAAATTTAAAATCCCTTAGTATTTTCTTTCTTTTCAACAAATCATGTCATCTTTTTATTAGACTTACCGATTTTGGGAAGAAGTGCAAGAGGGAACACGATGGTAATGCAAATAATGATAAGTAGTATTTGTCCATCAAGATACCAGGACCTATTAGAAAAAGGAAAGTTGGATTTTAGGCACAAGACTACAGAGTTAGTGTTTGTGCGTGTATGTTGCAAGCATCCATTAGGAAACGCCTACTTTATTTTGCTAAGGTATGTTCCTGCAAGATCCTACTAATAATTAATTTACATTTATGAAATGTATAAAAACCATGAGATGTTATTTTTCAATTACTAAATTACCAAATATTTAAAAATGAGATAAAAATATTTAAAAATGTAATGGTGGTGAGATATACAAAAAACTAGTTGAAATACAAACTGTGTGCATTACCTTTGTAGAAAGCAATTTGGCAACAGGTATTAAGAGACTTCAAATATTTATGGCCCACGGAAACCCTAAACAGGGTCTCTATGAGTCGGAATTGACTCATATACTCGCCACCATATTTATAAAAGATTGATGGGAATAAGAAAATAATTAGCAATAAGAACAAAGATGTTTATTTTTTAAAATTGTTTATTGAAAACATTTAAAGTAATGAAAATTGGAAACAATTTAAACACTTAAGACCAGAGCAATTTAAAACTATGAAACAATCATTTAAAATAATATGTTGTTGCTGCTGTTAGGAGCCACTGAGTTGGTACTGACTCATAGCGACCCTATTATGTACAACAGAATGAAACACTGCCCGGTCCTGGGTCAACCTCACAATTGTTGTCACACTTGAGCCCATTGATTCTGCCACTTTGCCAATCCATCTCCCTGGGGGTCTGCATCTTTTTCTCTGACCCTCCACCTTAACAAACATGATATCCTTCTCCAGGGACTGGTCCCTCCTGACAATATGTCTGAAGTATGAGAGAC